TAAGTAATTCTATTACATTTACTTCATTGTAATTAAATAAAACGTTATTCTAACCTAAACATCCCTAAAAAATCTTTAAGTATACAAATAGAAAAAATGCTGTAAGAATTTTTTGCCGTTAACAATAAAAATTTAAAAAAAGAAACCAAGACGACATGAATTTAACGGATGTCAGAATTCGTTGAAAAATACATCCCTACCCTACCTAAACATAACCCCTTTTTCGAACGTAACTCATAACTGATACAACAAAAGTTAATATAAATGAACACGCTACCACCCCTTGTCTGAATGATTGGATCTCTCTATCTCCTTGGAAACAGTGAATTATGAATTTTTCAGTGCCTTTAAAACTCAGTAAATTTTTAAAATAAGTTACTCCAAAATTCGCTTGAGGATGAAATGGAACTAATGTTTTTAATTTAATTACAAAATTAAATTCGAAGCTTTTAGCTTCCATTTTTGAAACATGGTTATTAAGGTGTGGCGAAAAAAAACATATTTTCAATAAGTTAATTTATAATATTAATGCTCTGTAAATTTACATTGAGCACTATTTTGTAAAAAAAAAAAATAAACAAAATGAAAAATAAAACAACAAAAATAAAAATATCAATAATAACACCGGATTATATATCTTACTGTTCTTTCTTCTTATATATATATATATATATATATATATATATATATATATATATATATATATATATATATTTATTTAGTTGGATTGACGTAAGTTTGTGACCTTCGGTTTCACGCTATTTGCGATCGTCAGACAAACTGATTAACTTTTAAATTTCGATTTATATATGGTTTCGTATATCGATGTTTTTTTTTCTCCCACTTCCATAAAAACGACGATTGCATCTAGCATGAAACAGACCGTCGCCTCTAAGTGTTGACTTCTATGTTCACTTTTATATTTACACACGCTCTATCTCTGATATTGAGCTCTTTATCCCATAAATATAGCACATCTTAAGATTATATTTTTTCATATATATATATATATATATATATATATATATATATATATTTCAATAAAGGTGCAATTAATTTACAAATTCATGAATTATTCATACAAAAAACAAATACAAAGGTTAATGATTTAATTGGCGAGAAATCCATCGTCGCAAACAATTCAAATAATATACAAAAAACCCCGAACCTGTTTATGAATGAAAAGATCCTTGTTTTTATAAATTTCTGTTGCATAAGTTCTTATTATATTTACAAGCTTTCGTCTGTTCCTACAGACATCCTCAGGTATGGAATAGATTTTCTTCTTGTTTTTACTCTCAGTAATAAGAGGACAACGAAAATATATGTATTGTAATCCGAAAAATGCTCTTAGAAATGAGTTATTGTTTTTGGAGCGTGCAGTCGCAACGCTGGGTTTGAATTTAAATCTTACAATTGTGCGTTCTTGTACAAATATGGTGATAAGTGAATTCTTTTTTACTGGTAAATTTTCTGTCAAATTGGCATGAACTTTATTGTTCAATAATTACAGTAATGTCGCACTTATTATCCAAAAGTTGCACTTTTTTTTATTTTAATTTCAATAAAGGTGCAATTAATTTACAAATTCAAGTAAAAACAAGAACAAAATCTATTCCATACCTGAGGATGTCTGTAGGAACAGACGAAAGCTTGTAAAAATAATAAGAACTTATGCAACAGAAATTTATAAAAACAAGGATCTTTTCATTAATAAACAGGTTCGGGTTTTTTGTATATTATTTGAATTGTTTGCGACGATGGATTTCTCGCCAATTAAATCATTAACCTTTGTATTTGTTTTTTGTATGAATAATTCATGAATATATATATATATATATAGTTTTAAGGTGTGCTATATTTATGGGATAAAGTGCTCAATATCAGAAATAGAGCGTATGTAAATATAAATATAAAAGGGAACATTGAAGTAAACATTCAGATGCGACATATATATGGGTCAGTGGTGAATTGTGGGTAATCTATTCTGGCTGTTATTTTTGCGGGAATGGCTTGTTTATTTATTTATTTGTTTCGGTCAATTTATGTTTGTCATTTTCATTTTGTATTATTTAGTCTCTTCGTTTTTTACATTTTTGTGGGGGTGGGGGATTTGCTTAGGTTTCTTATTTAATAGCTTATTTTAGTCTGTGAAGATAATTAAAGCTATTCATTCGTCCAATGTTTAGTTTGCTTGCCGTAGTCTTTGCTATTTTGGCGGGTGGCCATTTTTGAATTTATTTATTTGGATTGAGTATTTTTACTAGTTTTTGCTTATTTATATTTATTTTTATTAGTTCTAACGATTATTTTGATGCATTGTGGGTAGTCTATTGTATTTCATTGTCGGTAATCTATTGTAATATTCTAAGGGTTGTTTTGGTTTGGCGGTAACGATTCTCATTCGAATTTTCCTAGGGGCCAATGAATGGGAAAAAATTGTGGATCCAAACTCAATTTTGGGGCTATTTATGGTGTTGTTTGTTCACGTTTTAATTTATTATTGATTACTTATTTATTTTTATTTCTTATTGATTATTTATATATTTTATATTTATTGTTGATTATTTATTTACTTTTATTTATTATAGATTATTTATTTATTTTATTTGTTATTGATTTTTATTTATTATTGATTACTTATATATTTTTATTTATTGTTGTTTATTCATTTATTTTTATTTATTATTGATTATTCATTTATTTTTATTTATTATTGATTACTTATATTTTTTTATTTATTGTTGATTATTTATTTACATTTATATATTATTGATTAGTTATTTATTTTTATTTATTATTGATTATTTATTTATTTTATTTGTTATTGATTATTCATTTATTTTTTATTTATTATTGATTATTCATTTATTTTTATTTATTATTGATTACTTATATATTTTTATTTATTGTTGATTATTTATTTACATTTATTATTGATTAGTTATTTATTTTATTTATTATTGATTATTTATTTATTTTATTTGTTATTGATTATTTATTTACTTTTATATATTATTGATTATTCATTTATTTTTTTATTTGTTATTGATTACTTATATATTTATTTATTGTTGATTATTTATTTACATTTATATATTATTGATTAGTTATTTATTTTATTTATTATTGATTATTTATTCATTTTATTTGTTATTGATTATTTATTTACTTTTATATATTATTGATTATTTATTTATTTTATTTAATTAAAAAGTATTGATTTATTTTTATTTATTATTGATTATTTATATTTTTATTTATT